ACACTGCAGAAATAATCCAGTTTGAGACCACTTTAACTGTCCTGGCTCCTTGCTAGGGAATTCTGGGAACTGTAATTTATTGTGACACCAGAGCTCTCTGACAGAGAAGGCTAAAGATCTCACAAAACTACACTTCTCAGAATTCCCTAGCATGGAGCCAGGGCAGTTAAGGCGGTCTCAAACTGGATTATTTCTGCAGTGTGTTTTTAAAATCCATATCACAGTGTTGCTGGGGTACAGGGAGGTGAGAGAGCCATGTGTGTTCAGTAAATTGGAAGAGACAAGGGATAAAAATGTATGATAATGTGGTTTTCATCCTGCTAAAATAAATAATATTGCAAGAAATTGTGACTTTTGAGGAGCCAATTCTCTAGAATCGCCAGAGAAGTCCCAGTTCTCACACTGAAGAGGTGAAGCTAAAGTATGTTATTTAGGAGTGAAACCTTGTGGGGTAGGAGAAAGCAATTTGGAATAGCTCAGTTTCATAATAACTGAACATAGGATTTTGTTTTTAATTTGCAGGTTGTGCAGCTTGACTTTGAAGAAACTTATAGTATTGAGAGAACTGGATAAGGATCTCATTTCTGTCGTAATTGCAGTCAAAATGCAGGTAATATGAATTTGACTATTTTTAAATTTTGTATGTTTTAAATTTTAACCTTTTAGTGTTTTAATTAGGTTATTTTAATTGTTTTTAAACATGTTGTAAAATGATTTATATTGTAAGCTGCCTTGGGTCCCTTTTTGGGAGAAAGGCAGGATAGAAATAAAATAAATAAAAATAAATAAATAAACTTAATACAGTTGCCCCTCCTTTCTCACAGACTTAAAGTCTGCAATTTTGCATATTCATGGAGGGGCGATCTCCATGAAAATCAATGGGGCGTGCACCTGTGGGGGCACGCCCCATTCAAGCCTATGTGGCTTGAATATTGCCTAATCTCCATTTTTGCGCGGGAGGGGTCCAGAACGGATCTCCCATGAAAACGGAGGGCCAATTGTATAATGTAATTAACTTTATGTCAGATAGTTTACATGGCCCAGTAACAGAGTCCTGTTGCCTAACATACTGCTGAAATTTTGGTGTTAATCAGTATGAAAGTAATTTAGAAATGAACTCTTTTTGGCTATGGCAGTGATATGGGCAATTTGGGGGGTGGCGACAACCTGGGATGTGTGACAATAAATAGTACACTCAAATAAGATGAGGGCAAAGGGAGGCCTCAATTGAATGTTCTCACACACACACACACACACACACACACACATGCCTCAACACCTTGAACTGATCTTTTGAAAGTTCTTTCATATTTGTACTGAGCTTGGGAGCAGATATAGCAGATGAACCAAAGACTTTCTTGGCTTTTCCCAAGTTATCTGGATGTGCCAGATAGCTTAGGGGAGGCATAGCAGAAGGAGAAAATCACATTATTACTCTTGCCTACTGCACACCTCCCCTTTACCAGGTTCTTCTGCATGCCAGAGGACTTAGATAAGTGAATCTTCTGGACATGCTGACCAAGATGGGCTTAGCAGAGGACAAAGATAACTAACTTCTAACTACTTCTCAAGCAAATTATGGATGCCTAGCTGTGCATATGCATCTTTTCTTAGATGTCAATGTGTCGTTTGTCTACTTCCTAAATAATTTTATTAATTGGAGGTTGCCTATCATTCTGGCTTGGAAATGGAAGCCAGAGTCAGGTCAAGAAAGGTATCACAGAGCCAGAGATCATCAGCATTGTGAATAAGCATTAATCAGGAAGCTGTTTGAGGAATGAAGTATTGGCCAAATGTTGCCCCAAAAGTGGAATAAAGTGGAACACAATTTTGTACCAAAGAAATGTAAGCAGACAGTTTAAGGGTCCATAAAAGATTTTGTGGCACATATTGCTAATTACATTGAGAACAACAACAAAAAAGTACATTAGAACTAAAAAACCTGCTAGGGAAGCATTTGCCCTTTTCAGTGACAAGGAGATAAAGTAGTATTAAAGGCAAATAATGGAAGTTATACAGAAATGGAATGATTTCCTCCTGCTTTAGAAGATGTAGAGCAGGTTTCTGTGCCTGAACTGATGTTTACACAAAATTGTCTGGAGAACTTGGACAGGTTGCAGAAACAAGAGATGAGGTTCTAAATCTTATTGATGAACTGAAAGCTAGCAAATCACCCAGTCCTTCCTGGATTTCTTAAAGAACTTAGCTGTGTGATCGCTGGTCGCCAAGATCAACTTTTAAACTTGTTCAAACGTGGCATAGTGGTTTGAGTGTTAGACTATGGCTCTTGAGATCAGGGTTTGATTCCCAGCTTGGCCATAAAACCCACTGGTGGGGGGTTGCAGACTGCCAGAAATAGTGCAAATTGAGTCAACTTTTAGGGTTAGGGTTAGTGCTAGCGAATCATGGGAATTGTTTTTTTCCTGAGACATTGAGCCTTCTCTGTCAGAGAGCTCTGGTTCCCATGATTTCCTAACCCTAATCCTAAAAGTGGACTCAATTTGCACTATTCCTGGCAGTCTACAACCCCCCTGGGTGACCTTGGGCAAGTCACATGGTCTCAGCCTCAGGAGAAGGCAGTGGCAAACCACCTCTGAACAAATCTTGCCAAGAAAACCCCATGATAGGTTCACCTTGGGGTCACTATAAGTTGGAAACGACTTGAAGGCACTCAATATCAACCACAGTGGGAACCAATTAGGGTGGCTAGGTTTGCAGATTATAGCAAATTACCGGTATTTTGTAGTGGTTAAAAACAAGGATAATGAATTGCTCCAAAAGGATCCCTCCAAACTGGGAGAATGACAAGTCTTCAGAGTGCCCTCTTGCATTTTAACATTTTTATTTGCAAGAGTCAATACATGCTGTTGTTTTAATGGTCTTGACTAGCATATTTACCCCTTTCATAAGTTTAAAATGATAGACTTTGGGGCAAAAAGCACATTTAAAGAGCTGGACAGCACAATGGCTGCCAGTATTGTGCAAACTCCTGCTACATCACCATTGCGTGTTTGCCAAATGAAGAAAATGTTGTCCTACTATTGTTGTGCCCATTTGGCAGGAGTAGGGGTGGCACATAGCTAGGTGTAGGACATACCTTGTAGATGCCGCAGGGTGTTGGTTTGACTGGCTTTCCTCTCTGGGATCTGCTTTAGCACCTAGGGCATGTGCTGCTAGGCTATCTGGGTGGGTTTGCCAAGGTATAGTGTAATCCACCACCTTCCACTTGAGTGTGATGTTTTCTTAGCAACTTTTGGATTGGCGCATGCACTTTCCTCTGTCACCTGGACAGTCCCCCTTTGTGCCCCTCTATCGTGGTGAAAATATGCTGGAGCTTTTGCTCATGTGCCCAGATAAACGTGAACATTGTGTGAAGTTGAAGATGTATTTCCCTCAGAGCATTGTTTAAATGTGATCATGTGCTCAGGTAGATATTTCTTCATTTCACTGAACTGTGCTACATGGATTCTGTATAGTTCCTCAGATAGCAAAGTTTGACTAGGACTGATAATCAGATAAACCTGATATTTATCTTTATTAGTCCAACTAAAAGATGCAAAATACATCATACTAGCTTTTGAAGCTCACAGGATTCTTCATCAGGCAAAGATGGTTAAAAAAAAGTGTTTGCATTCACATTACTGGTGGGATGAAATATATCTTTCCATGTCTACTGCAGGTGGCATCTTTCTTGGTTGATCTTAGATTCTGTTTAGATCTAATAATAATAATAATAATAATAATAATAATTTTATTTCTTCCCCGCCTTTTGCCGTAGCAGTCAAGGCGGCTTACATCTAAAACAACACAAAAACTACCCCCATAATAACAACAAATCATATAAATAAACACACTGACCCCCCCTTAAAAATACATTAAATTCAAATGTCAGTTAAAACCAAAGATTAAAACTATAAACAAAGTTAAAAGCAATAGCCACTCTGGGGATATGGAGAGAAATATTGGGGGGGGGGAGATCGAGCTAACTGAGTAGTTTATTCCAGGTAGGCTGCCAGAAGAGATCCGTCTTAACAGCTTTTTAAAAGCCTTCTAAGCTGGTTATCTGATGGATATCTTCCGGCAAGGCGTTCCATAATCTGGGACCAGTGGCAGAAAGCGTCCTCTGGGAGGTTGCTGTCAAACTAGTTTTTATTGGTTGAAGCAGCTTCCTCCCAGAGGACCTGAGGGCACGGGGCAGATTATATGGAAGTAGGCCTTTATATATATAAGTAGATAGATAGATATAGATATAGGCCTTCTGCTTACCATTTTTCCTCCTCCCATTTGCTGTGGGTTTGCAGGAGGGCTTGCATTAATTACAGTGGGAGGCACCTTATTGTTGGGCCAGGTGCAGTTTGTGGGCTAGCTTTAACTGTGATTGTGTTCATGGCTATAATAGAAACCTGACCATTTAGGCTTTGAACTGAATCTAGACCTACATCCAAAGCATGAACCTTAGCTTTCAGGGAAGCATAATTATGTCTGCCCTACAGGTCAAATTATTGTTTTTTGATCTGCCTTTTGATTCACCAAAAAGATGATTACTTTATGTGGATTTGGTTTCAATGTGTTTGTCCTCATCCAGTCTATTACTGATGTCGGAGCTTGTTTTAGGCCCAAAGCAGTATCAGCCTGGTGTAGTAGTTTGCACGTCAGACTGTGATGCAGGAAACAGGGTTCAAATTCTGGTTTGGCCATGTAAACCTACTGGGTGACCTTGGGCAAGTCACACACTCTCAGCCTCAGAGGATGGCAATGGCAAATCCTCTGAAGAAACTTGCCAAGAAAACCCCATTATAGGTTCACCTTAGGGTTGCCGTAAAATGGAAATGACTTGAAGGCACACAACAACAACTACAACACCACTTCCTTGAATGTGGATGGAAATAAAGAAAAGTCAGATATCAGTATATTGGAGGCACTGAACCCCCAGGCTCCAGCCAACCTTTCACAACAGTTTCAATGTTAAATAGCCCTGGGGACAAAACAGAAGTCTGAGGAATCGCACAGACCAACAGCACAGGAGTTGCTTTATACCACCATCACCACCAATGAGTTCAGTGAGCCATGGGCCACTGAACTCATTGGTGACCCTCTAAGCTCATCTCTCCAGGCAGAAAAAGAGCCACAGCAAAACAGGGCTCTAGGTCCCATTTCAGAGATGCAGCTGAGAATATTGTGGTAAATGGCGTCAAAAGCCAGTGGGTGGTCCAGCAAAGCCAACAGCGGCATGCATCATAGGTTATTCCTCAAGGTGACCAGAGCTGCCTGTGTCTCTTTCCCATTCTGGAAATCAGATTGAGACAGATTCATGTAATCCACCTCATTCAGGAATCCCTGGCAGTGAGATGCCCTACATTCATAATCACATTCACACAATCACAAAACATTCTTTTCCAGAATGGAACATTTGAAATTGGCCAATTGTTAGTTAAAACGATGGAGCTCAGAATACACACTTTTCACCATGTGTTTTGGGCACATGGGAACTTTCCCTTGCTGTAAAGAGTCACTCCTCACTCCCTTTACTCACTTGTCCATCACCCCATCTGCCTTTTTGAATTCCTGGGACCCCTTTATATATATATACCAACATTGGAAGGAATGTTCCAAATGGCCTGATTTATAATACAGACTACTGATTTATAATACAGACAATGTTGGTGAAAATATATTCATGTTTCCCCATGAAGCAATGACAGACAGAATCTTAATTTTATTTATATAGATTACAGCTAGTTTCCTCTTTCTCATAATAAAGATATTGTTATGTAAATGGTGTATTTAAATGTTATATGGAGAGCATCTCAGTTTTGTTTTTAAACATTTGAAGATATACAGTAGTACACTGGATGATATCCAAATTAAAATTTTAAGATATTGTTATTCCTGACCATCATGTTGTAACTGAAACATGCTCCTTGTAGAAGACTTGTTAATTGGAAGAGATCAGGTACCATATGGATGCAACTGTTTGCTTCAAAAGGGGAGAGAAATAATGGAAAGGGAGTATGGGAGGAGATGGAAGATGGCGATGTTTTCCCAGAGATCTGAGGCCACAAAAGATAGGCTTGGCATGGCCTGCAACAAATGTTTGCCAGAGAAAAAAAAAGTGAAGGCCAGTGTTCTGTTGAACTCATTTTTGAGCTACTGATGCTGAAAGTTAATTGGTTTATTTTTTTTAAAAAAAAAGACTAGACAAACATAAAGGGAGTAGATGTATCAGAGCTATTAGTTATTAAAACTGTGAAAGTCTCCAAAAACCATCTACAGAAAAGAAAAGAGAGAAGCTCTCTTGATCATGTGCTTTCTGTTATTTACGTCTTGGTATATACACTATTGTATGTGATAGAAAACTACAACTATGTGATAGTATAAGGCTGTTGTTTATACAGCATCACGTCCAATGCTGTTTGTTCTGCACATGAAAGGTCTGCATTGGAGGTAGCAAGTGTGTATCTGTTTTCATAAGAGGACTTGAGTTGATGATCTGGTAACTTTATGAATACGTGCACTAGTCTGTTGTAGCATCTAAGCACATCTTATCTTTTTCTGTGCAGGGTTCCAAAAGAATACTGCGTTCTCATGAAATTATGCTGAACCCTAGTGGTCGTGTAGAAACAGAACTTGCACTCACATTCTCTCTACAGGTAATATAAGAAATACTTTTGTCTCCTTGTGTCTTACTGTAAAGGTATTCATGTACAGTTTGGACAGAATTATCTAATTAGCCTGTGTGTGTGTGTGTGTGTGTGTGTGTGTGTGTGTTATTGTTTCAACTTTGCTCAGTGATTGAATTTCCTCTGAAATCATAGGACTAGAAGAGATTGGAACAAAGGTGGAAAAAGTGAGGATTGTGGCCTGTATATTTTGGCCCCAAAATGCTCCCCACTGAAACAACCCATAGGTGTGGGGAAATATTTTTTGTTGTTCTTTCACAGGAATTATTTTAATCACAGGAGGGTTATTTCTTCGATTGGTCATCTGTGAATTCACACAAATGGGTTATCTCTGCACCTGCACAGCTAGCTCGGAAAGTTCTGGTATCACTGGGCAAAACTTCAGCTGCAACTTTTTGGCGGTAGCTCTGCCCACCCCTATAAATCCCCAGGTGTTCACGCTCTTTCTCTAGTTCCTTTCATCCACCGCTTTTTGCAGCTAGCAAGGAACTTAGCTTGCTAGAGTCTCTCTCTAACTACTTGATTTGTCCTATGGCTGTAGGACAAGTTACAGGTGAGCAATCTGTCCTTTCCCCCCAAACACAAATTGACCCAGAAGTCAACTTCCAGTCATAATGTTGGAGAAAAGGCTTCTCCTGG